TCAGGTTAGCAGAGGAGAGCTCCAGGACTTAGAGTCATGGTATACTCTAAAGTTCCCAGTTCTGCTGGTCCCTTAAATAGTTTGCTAAATCTTGCTAATCACACTTTGCCACACTCCACACAATCTCACTCTTATCTACAGTGGCTGGGTAGTGGGCCTATACTCCCTTTCTTTCCAATCTCTCTTCAGCCAGGCCTTTGCCTGCCTGATTACAAGGCTCCTTACACATCTGAACTATTTTGTAAATACCTACACCAGAGTAAAGGACCCAGGTTCTAGCTATGACTTTGATACAGGGAATTTCTGTGTGTGGGGGGCACACTTGTGGAAGTCAGAGGACAACTTACAGGAATAGGCTCTCACTCTTTCCACTATGACCATGTGGGTTCTGGGGTGGGGTCCATCTCCTGTTGTCAGAAGGGCCATTCCTACTTGAATTAGGACTTGAATTAGGAAAGCAGAGGTGAGATGCCCCGGTTCAGGTGCTCCCATGCATGAAGGCAGAGCAGGAAGTTTGCTGAGGAGGGGGTTGCTTTCGGATTGCTCATCAGGCTTGCTGACTGTTGAAAGAGGCTGATCTGCTGTAGTTTTGGGAAAGATCTGGGCTGAGATACAGCCTAGGGAGGCAGCCACACGCATTCCAGGCGGCAGGAGAAGACAGGGCAGGAACAATAAGAGACTGCCTTGAAAGTACAGCAGAAGTTGGGTGTAGTGACATGTGCTTGTAATGCCAGCATTTGGGATGCTGACGTAGGAGGATCCCATTGAGCTTGAGGCCAGTTTGGGCTACATTGTGAGTTCCAGGTCAGTCTGGGCTATAGAGTAAAACTCTGTCTCACTCCCTCCAAGGAAAAAGTCCTATTTCTCTAGATGGCTTAGTGTGTTTGGCAGATGTTCTTCTCCAGCTGGCCATACAGCTTTGGAGTCTCCTTGCTTTTCAGATGTTTGAGAACACAGTGGAGTGATTGTCTTAAGTATGTCCTTGGGTGAAGGAAGCCAGAAACTGATTTTTCCAAGTTCCTTTCCTTAAACTTTAAATTGAGTTCTAGGGGTGCAGCTCAGCGCTACTGAGTGTGCTGCATATGGACACAGCCTAGGTTCCTTCCCCAGCACGCTGTGCCCAAAGACAGAAAATAATGAGTGGAGTTTCTTCTAATCATGTCCAACATGTCTGGGATTTTCTTGTGCTTTGGGTGCTCATTTTCTTCCTTTCCTCCTTAGTGAATTAAAATTATAATGCCAAACTGATGGTGTTTTAAATGTGTCAGAGGATTTTAGCATACTTCAGAAGGCAAAAAATGGGACAGTATTTTCAGGATAGGCAACATTAGAAAATATACATACAATAAAGTACACAAATCTTAAGTAGAAGACTAGATGCTTTATTTTTAGCTTTATTTATTTATTTATTTATTTATTTATTTATTTATGCTTCATGTCATAGTCTGTGTGTGTGTAAGTCAGAGGGAAATTTGTGGGAGTCTTCCTTCCACCATATGGATCCTGGACACTGAATTCACCAACTTAGCTAGGCTAGCTGGCCAGAGATGCTCCGTTCTCTGCTCCAGAGTTACAGATGTGAGGACTAGAGCTACAGCAGGTCTCTTCAGTAGGTGCTGGGAATCCAAACTTGGGTCCTCATGCTCAAGCAGTGAGTGCTTTAACAGATAAGTCATCTCCCCAGCCCCTGTGTTAACTTTGAACTTCTAAAATGATCTCATTATGCATCCACGGCTGGCTTGGAAACCCTCAGGTAAACCAGGCTGTCCTTGAACTTTCAGTGACCTCCGACTTCCACCTCTGGAGTGCTAGGATTATATGCCCAGCACCCCATCCAGCACCCGATCCACACCCTCCTCTGTCCTCCACAGGCACCAGGCATGTATGCATGCACTTATATACATGCAAGCAAACCACTCACACACAGAAAAATAAACTTTTATAGAAAAAGAAAAAGTGGGACAGAGGCAGGAGGATTCAAGGCTATTCTCACCTACATAACTAGCTTAAGGTCAGCCCAGGCTACCTGAGACTGTCTCCAAAGAAAAGAAATGGGGGGCGAGTTTTGATTTGGGGTTGGTGATACACAATGACACTGTCAAGCAACAATTTCTTTTTTCTTTCTTTCTTCCTTTTTTTTGTGTGTGGGGGTTCAAGACAGTATTTCTCTGTGTAGTTTTGGAACCTGTCCTGGAACTCGCTTTGTAGACCAAGCTGGCATTGAACTCACAGAGATCTACCTACCCCTGCCTCTGCCTCCTGGGATTAAAGGCATGTGTCACCACCACCACTAGAGGCAAAGGGTATGGATCAGTGGTAGAACACCTTGAGGTGGGTGGCCCTGAGTTTCACCCCAACCCTACAAAGATGAAGGGAAGAGAAATCATGAAAGTGCCCTCGAAACTTGCAGGTATACCACGTGAGCACTATACTGAGTTCTAGCACCTGCCCAAATTCAGGGGTGTTCTGGAGAAGAGTGGAGCTATGCGTGGCTCTCAGTAGGGACTGTAAAGCTAACGCTGTTTAGGAGCATTCATTCCGTGTGATTTTTAAACCATATCAAATAAAGTCATTTTTCTTCCCCTTCCAAAATTATTTTGCAAGTGTTGGCCTGCTGCCACCAAGGTCTTCCCAGCTAGGGAGACGAAGGGGTTTGTTTAACCGCTTTGTTCTTTCCTTTTTAACCTATTTGTGTTTAACCAGATCCTGTCCCAATCCCTTAGGCATTTTAACAACTTCTTTCTGTTTGTTGAACTAAGAGATTAACTTTAGATCGCTGTCCAAACTCCAAAGTTTACATTTGCTGTACCCCTGCAGCTTCTCACGCCTGCCCAGGGTGGATTCAGTCGGGAGCTTTCAGTTGCTGTAGGAGATGAAGGGACAGCTTGAGTGCCAGGAGCGAGAAGGGTGAGCCCTCAGGGGTCTGCTAGTCCTCAGACCTGCTGCTATCCACCTACCTGGCCTCTGTGGCCCTGGCGAGTTTTTTCCCCTTCCCAAGGTTCTCTGCCTGACCTTTGAGTCGCCTGCGCAGTCACACTAGACCCGTGAATATCCAGGCCAGAACAGCATTAGTGGAGAAGACAAGGAAACTAGATTCCCAGGCGACCGGCAAGCTAGATTCAACCACCCCAGTCTCCCAACCCGAGGCAGAGACTGCCCTGTGACCAGCCGGAGAGCCGTGCCAGGAGCTAGGCAGACTCGGTGACATTCAGCTTCCCAGAGCTCTCCCCAACCCCGGGAGGCTGCAGCAGCGCTACCAGCTTATGCGAAGAACCCCGGTTGGCACAGGTACTCCACGTGCAGCGGGGACCCCTGACAGCAGTCCTTTACCACCACCCTTCCCCCACCCCTGCCCAAGCCACTAGTTTGCAGCCAGAATGCACCCTCTCACTCGGGGCAGAAATGGGTCATTTGGCAGCACTGCCCCTCCCCCCTCCACACACACATTGCTTGCAGGACAGACAGACTGTGGGGTTAAAAATGCTATTGCAAAAGTCCCACGTCTGATCTTGGGGCTTATCTAAGATTGATAGCACGAAAGCCCTTTGGAGCCTGGGCCAATTTTTAACAGCCAATGAACATGGCAAATGCTACAGTGTGAGACAGGTCTGTGCTGTGTTTCCAAAAACATGCAATTTATTGAAGGAAACATTAAACCAAAACTCCCCCCCACCAGCCTTGTATTTGCCTACCCATGCATAGGACCGCTTAGTTCAAAGCAGGCAGACACGTGGGAGGCGCGTGAAGGTGCAGGCAATTTCCATCAGCACTAAGGCCTAGCCAAGCAGACTTGCCGAGCAAAGTTCCCTGCTCCTTCCAGGGAGAATTCTCCACTGATCTCCATTTTTCTGATAATTTTTCTTTTTTTATTTCTCCCAGTTCACTGGTCACAGTCTTTGGCCTAAAGTCCAAGCAGAGAATGTTCTTTGCCTGTGGGGCTCAAGGCTCCCCGCCAAACTGGCCTCAAGAAGGCCAGATTCAACTAGGGGAGCTAGCTGTGAATCCATTCAACACATGGTGGAGCTGGAGGTGGAGATCTGTAGCAGAGTGCATTCCACGTCCTGGTTCTATCCCCAGCACTTCCACTACAAAATATACACACACCAGGGAGAATGCCCTTCATATCTGCTTTTGTCTGAATTGGAAAATGGACATAGTTTTTTTGGGGGGAGGGGCGGGGGAGGTAGGGATGATGCTAAGTATTAACCCCAGGTCTTAGTACAGGCTAGGAAATTGTTCTACCCAGGCACGCACCAAACCTGTGGCTGTTAATTCAGTATATTATCGCTGATGAACACATATCTAAAACTGGCTAGCCCCAAGGAGATCAATAGCATCAATGGATGAGGGGAGGGTGACAACATAAAAAGGTGACCTGCAGACACCCAGAGGGGCCACCAATGAGGGAGCTGCCCGCCCCTTGGAGGTCAGGGAGCTGGCATAAAGGGCAGAGGGCTTCCTTTCTGTTCTATTTTAAAGGTAGCTTGAAAAAACCTTCACTGGTAAGTTGACTGGAGATGTCTCATGTCCTGTCCTGTCAACCCTTTCTTCTTATTCCTACACACCACCTCCTGGCATGCTGCACACCTTGCTGATTGGGGGTGGGGGAAAAACACTCACCTTTCTCTTCTGATCCAACACTGGAATACCACTAGGAGATTTCAGATTTGGTCCCAGACTGCTTTGATAAAATTAATTTTATAATAAAACAAATAACAGATTTTTTGTCTTCCTGGTGCATACAAAAGTTACATTTACAATGGACAGAAATGCTACTGTGCATCCCTTAACTAAAAAACATACTTTATTGCTCAAAATTCTAAGTACTGTCTGAGCTGTTGGAAACCTGGTGCAGATAAAATTGCTCAGTGCAGGATTGCCATTAACCTGCAATTTGTGAAAACTGTAGTATCTACCAACTGTACTGTGTCTTGTGCTGAATCTGCTCCATGTAATTGCCTTTCATTTATTGTTACCTTTAATAGGCTTTTCCTGCAACCATGTCTTCCATCAAGATTGAATGTGTTTTACGGGAGAACTGCAGGTGTGGGGAGTCTCCGGTGTGGGAGGGAGCATCTAACTCTCTGCTGTTTGTAGACATCCCTGCAAAGAAGGTTTGTCTATGGGATTCACTGAGCAAGCGAGTGCAGCGAGTGGCTGTGGGTAAGAATGAAAGCTGAGCTCCTTTCCTCGAAGTTAGCCATCTTTTCCCAGAGGGAGGTGGGGGAGGTGAGAGGGGCATCATTGCCCTGGGTCCTTCTTGTTAAAGCCTGACTGAAAATGCTTTGAAACCTTTCGGGTTGTCATGTTCTCTGTGTCTGTGATTCATGTGTTGTTCCCACTTGAACCCAATGATGGATCATCAATACTTTTCTCATCCTCTTCCATGGAGCACAGCATTCCCAACTTCTTTTTATTTTGTGATGCTGGGGATGGAACCCTGAGCCTCAGGCATGCTCAGCAAGTTCTCTACCTCGAAACTATATCTCCAGTGCCCTGGCTTTGTTTTGATGCTGAGGCCCTATAGTGTCTTTTTCTTGATCGCCTTCAGATAACATCATTCACAGCAAAGGCTTCATTAGTGGCATGGCAAAAGCTATCTACTCTGGTTAGGCCAAGACCTCAGTTTAAAAAAAAGCAACAGTATAACAACAGCAACAGATGTATTACTTCTTTGTGAAAAGAAGAGTTCCTAGGCTTCAAAAGCATCAACCAGGACTGTTTACACACTGCACAAATGTGAGCTTACTGACAAGGTTCCCAAGAGAGCTTTGTGATTTCAGAGGAGTTTCTAGGGTTTTCTGTGGCTCAAGGCAATGGGCCTGGTGTGATTATCAGTAGACAAATAAGTTTCTGTTTTTGTTATTGGATTCATGGGAAGAAGATAGCAGGATTTTCCTAAGATTACAGGAATTTCTGGTTTCTGCTATCTCTTCCCATGAATCCAACTGTGAGTTTAAAGCTTGTTTTCCCTGGTGCTAGAGACTGAACCCAGGACGTGTGCATACCACAAGCTCTGTTCCCAGACTAAAAGCAGATTTCTTTGAAAAAATTGATTTTGTATGTGTGGGGGTGCTCTGGTTCCATGGCACACATGCGGAGGTCAGACAAGAACTTGCAGGAGTAGGTTTGCTCCTTCCACCATGTGTGCAAGTCAGAGGACAGCTTTGGGGAGTTTTGGGGGATTGAACTCAGATCATCAGACTTGCTGAGTAATGTGGAACTCACAGGTTCCACCTGGAGCAGCTTCTAATTTACCTATCAACGTGTTTCTAGCTAGCTCCAAGCAGAATGCTTCTGCCTCTGCCTCCCCCAGTCCCTCATTCCCAGCATTCACCAAATTCCTCCCCCTAATCTGCAAAGCCTCTGAGTCTTGCAAAGGGTCTGTGTGCTAGCAGGAGCTTAGAAAGCTAAACTACCAGGAGACATGTCATGCTTAGATTCCTTGTTAAGAGCATGACCTTCCTTATAGGGTCTTGCATATTCTCAGGGCCCCCAAGGACTTGAGTCAACTTCTGAGCAGGGCTTTGAGCTAAGAGCTTTTAGCTTTGATGAGGTGCTTAGGAAATGATTCTAAATAAACTCAGATAAATGTATTTCCTGTGATACTCACCATGCTAAACTCTCCCCACTTAAAATGTTTTTTTTTTAATACAGGAAAGAATACTAAAACCAGAAAAGCTAAAGTATTAAAATAAAAAATATAGGAATATATTAAAGAGTTATAAAGATTGTATTTCATTGCATATACAATTGTATTATTTTTACCATGCAGACTTTCAAAGAATATTTGAGAAATGAGAAGCAATTTGGAATTAAGTATAATAAAATAGGACCCTTTGAAAATGGTATGAACTAGATATGCAGTGTACACCTATAATACTAGCATTCAAAAGGTGGAGGCAAGAGAACCTATAGATTGAAGCTACCTTCAGCTACATGGTCAATCAACATCTTGGTACCATTAGAATCACTAGACCCCTTCCTAAGAGATGTTACATGACACAATGATGTCTGTGCTGGACCACCAGAGTGCTTACTACCTTCTAGGTATTGCCTTTTCCTCTGCAGATGCCCCAGTCAGCTCAGTGGCACTTCGGCAGTTGGGGGGCTATGTTGCCACCATTGGGACCAAGTTTTGTGCTTTGAACTGGGAAAATCAATCAGTATCTGTCCTAGCTACAGTGGATAAAGAGAAGACAAACAATCGATTCAATGATGGGAAGGTGGATCCTGCTGGGAGATACTTTGCTGGTATGATTTCATTCTCTTTTTTGCCCCTATTTGTTGTGTTTGAATCTTGCTCTGTGTGTGTGGTGCTGTGGGATGGAACAAAAGATGTATATATGCTAGATGAGTGTTCTACCACAATAAGTAATACTATATAATGAACACACACACAGATACATGTATATATCCTTACCTAGATTAGTTACTTATAAACATTTTGTTCTTGTTTCAATATGTACTCTATCTAAACTTATTTCTCTGCAGAATCATTTGTGTGTGTGTGTGTGTGTTCTCTAAGGAAATGGCTTTTTTTTTCCTGGGACAGGGGCTTTCTTATACTGCCACCTTTCCCAGCCTGGAACTTGCTATGTACCACCAGGCTGACCTTAAACTCACATAGTACACCTGCTTCTGCCTTCTGAGTTCTGAGATTAGAAATATGTGCTACCATGCCTAGTGAGACTGACATATTCCTTTTATTTTTTGGTTTTTCAAGACAGGGTTTTTTGAAACAGGGTTTCTCTCTACCTTTGGAGCCTATCCTACAACTCACTCTGTAGCCCAGGCTACCTTTGAACTCACAGAGATCTGCCTGCCTCTGCCTCCCAAGTGCTGGGGCACCACCACTGCCCAGTTTGAGAATGGCATGTTTTTTGTTGTTGTTGTTGTTGTTTTTCCGAGACAGGGTTTCTCTGTGGCTTTGGCGCCTGCCTTGGGCTTTGCTCTGTAGACCAGGCTGGCCTCGAACGCACAGAGATCCTCCTGCCTCCACCTCCCTAGTGCTGGGACTAAAGCATCTTATGGAAGTTTGAAATTCAATAAGCCTATATTCCTGTTATGTCAACTAACCAAATAACATCCTTTATGGAATTTTCCCCTCCAGTGAGGGATCCAGTTTGGAATCACATACTGTACTTACTTGTCTTTTCATCCTCTTAATATGAAACATCTCCTTGACCCTCCCCCCTTCTCTCTCTTTTATGGTATTGCCATTTTTAAAGAATATGGTCCTACCCACCCTCTTTAATAATAGAACATTCTTCATTTTGTAGATGTCTGATGTTTCCTTGCGATTAGCTTGATGTTAGACATTCCTGGCTAGAATAATGTGGAGGTGATGTTCTGTCCTTCCCAGGGCATTCAGCCTGGAGGTACACACTGTCCTCCTGCCCCTCATTGGCAGTGTTGAAGCACTGCTGGCTGCATTCCTCTGCTTCAGAGTAACTGCTCTTTTGTTTTGTTGCTTTGAGAAAAAGTGTTACTGTGAGGCCCAGGATGCCCTCAAACTTGCTATGCAGTCAAGGCTTGCCTCGAACTTGCAATCCTCCTGCTGGAAACTCCCAAATGCTGGGATTGTAGACACACATCAAACACCACATCTGACTATATATAACTTTAAAAGACTTTTAACTGTAGTTTAAAATATCACAGTTATTTCTCATTTACCTCCCATCACAGCCACCCTGGAAATTAGCCAGAGTTGATTCACCATCTCTAGTCTTCCCTCCCTACACTGCCTTTTCATGTTGTTGGCTATGACACCCATCCCATAGTGGCTCACTGTCACCACAAAAGGCAGGTAAGCTCTCAGAAACTGGCTGTATATTGGTCCCCACCCTGTTGGACTATTTACAACCACAGCTATTACCCAACACAGGTTGAAAGATGAAAGATGGGAACCCATGGAGAGTCCCTGTGCCAGTAATTTCTGCCAGACAAAGAATTAAGAAGCTGATCTTGATGCCATACACCTGTTATACTAGCACTCAGGAAACTGAGGCAGGAATATTGCAAGTTCAAGGCCAACGTGGGCTATATAGCACAGCCTAAAAGGAGGGAAAGAGGAAGGCTAGCCCTTTTACATGCTCTTCAATAGCTTCCTGTGAGGTAGCTGCTGTGGGAGAATGTTCATAAAGCAAACCGACTTAGAGAGAGCAGGAAACTGCTGAGTGACCCATCCTCCCCGGGGAAGGAGAACCCACCCCATCCTCTTGCCACTCAAGCTTGCCTCTCCTATTTGCAAGCTTTTGTCCTTTTCTTTCAACTAAAGTATGAAATAATAGCTTTCCTGTTTCTTCATTCTAATCAGAGTCTGCTCTGGCCTCTGAGATCATGTGATACCCGAGTCCATCTCCCTGAATACTGAATACCGACTTCAGTGAATGAAATGCGTGACAAGAATGCATATCAGTCTGCTGTTGGATGAAACACTCTGCAAGCATCAGTAACTCTCTGCTTTCTGTTCTTCTACTGCACTTGCCAACATTTGTCAGCCTCTGTCTGCCATTGATAGAAGGATATTGATTGTTCCCAGTAGAATTCAGTATTTTTCTACCTCTTTTCAGTTATGACAAATTTTGCTTTGTGTATTTTAAAGCTCTCCTTTTTGTTCAAGACAGAGTTTCTCTGTGTAGCTTTGGAGGCTGTCCTGGAACTCACTCAGACCAGGCTGGTCTCAAACTCACAGAGATCCCCCTGCCTCTGCCTCCTGAGTGCTGGGATTAAAGGTGTGCACTACCACTGCCCAGCTAAAGCTCTACTATTAAACACATAAACATTTAGAATTACTGTATATTCTTAGTGAATTGGCCATTTTCAACCTGTAACTCCCCTCTTTGCCCATCATATGTAATATGATATTTTTCCTTCATCATTTTCAAGTATTTTTATTTGACTTTGGATTTCAACAGTTTGATCACAGTGTGTCTGGGTGTGGGTTCCTTTCTGTTTGTTCCGTTTTGGATTTGATCAGCTTCTTAAATCTACTGAAAACTCATGTGAAGGGATGCTCTCTTGACCTGGACACATGGGGAAGGGCCTAGGCCTGGCCCAGGATGATGTGGTAGACTTTGGGGAGCCCCTTTTGAGGGCCTTACCCTGCCTGGGGAGTGGAGGGGGGATGGCTAGGGGCAGATGGGCTAGGCTAGGGGGAGGGGAGGGAGAGGGAGAAGGGATTGCCATCTGAAGCAAGTTTGTTCCTAATTTGAACTAATAAAATAAAATTTAAATTAAAAAAAATCTACTGAAAATTTCTATACTCTTCCCCAATCTGGGGAGTTTTGAGCCATGTAATCTTTAAGAACCTGTGGCCCTGCCCTTTTTTCTTTTTCTCTAGGCATCCAGTGAGCTTTTAGCCCTTTTGCTGTCCCATGGCCACACGCTCTGTTCTTTTTGTCTTCCAAAGTTTTTCCCCAGCTTTTCCCTGCACCTGATTTCTATTGATCTGCCAGAGGCTCCACTGACTCTTTGCTCTTGTTGATGTCCTTCTGCTATTGAGTTGTTCCAATGCACTCGATAGTTTTGTTTCGTTATTCTTCACAGCTTCTACTACTTGGGTAACGGGTTCTATTTTGAGTTCCATAACTGTTTACAATTAGTTTTATAAAACTTGCATTAGTCTTTACCAAAACCTTCCAACATCTGTGCCATGTAATTTTCAGAATCTGTTGATTTCCTACACTGATTGAGTCATCTACCCTTGTATTGCTGAATTTATTAGTTATCTTTCCATCACAATAATGAGATAACTGAGGTTATTAACTTACAAAGAGAAAAAAATGCTATTGTGATACGTATTTTAAAGGTTCTAGTCCATGATCCTATTGCTTTTGGCCTCTGGTGAAACAACACATTGTGTTGCGAATGTGTGGTAGAGCAAATTGCACATGTCTCAAGCCAGCTAGCAAAAGATGACTAGACTGCCCATGTTCCACAATCCCTTTAAAGGTCTTGCCTCCAATGACTGGAAGACTTCTAATAGGCTCCACCCCCTAAAGACCCACAGCATCTCACAAGCCTTTAACACATGGGCATTTGGAGGCATTCGATACCAAAATATAGCACCAAATAATTTTAGGTTATATCCTAGATGTTATGAATATTGTTGTGAGCCCCTGAACATAGTTTAAATCCTTTAGAGCATGTTATAGTTACTTCAGGAAGCAGCAATTTGAGTATGGCCAGTCATCCCAACCTGCTTTGCGTTAGGCACAAGGAAGATGTGTTCCACATGTGTACCTCTCACCTAATTTGGGGCAGAGAACTTGTACCCATTAGCTCCATTCCCCAAATCTTTGCAATGCTGATTACAATCTGATCTATGTGACACAAGCTGAGAATGAGCCTAAGAGTTCATAAATATCTTTTAACGGGTTACATTCTTACATATCTCGGGCTGTCCTCAATCTCCTGATCTTCTTCCTTTGGCCTCCGGAGTGCTAGCATTACAGGGGAGGTCCAGGGGAGGCTTATACCGTACATTTTGTTCAGGTTTTATACTTGTGCTTAGTAGGAGAAAAGGTAAGTTCATGTTTAGCCCTTCTTACTTGAAACCATATCTCTAAATTCCTAAATTGTGTGTGTGTGTGTGTGTGTGTGTGTGTGTGTGTGTGTG